ACCAAAATAGAGGAATTATGCTAAACACCAATAACAAAATGATTATTAGAAAATTCCCAAATACTTGGAAACTATATAATATACATTTAAATAACCCATTGATCAAAAATGAAATCACAATGAAAATTAGAAAATATTTTTATTTGAAAAACAAAATCCGTCCTTGAACTGCATCTTTATCAAAACAAGAGGGATACAATTAAAGTAGGAAATGACTAAAGAGAGAGAAATTTACAGCTTTAAGTGCATATGTTAGAAAAAAAGAAAGGCTCAAAATCAATGAATTAAGCTTCTACCTTAAGAAGCTCCTTTGGAAATGGAAATCAAAACCACAATGCGATATCACCTCACACCTGTTAGAATGGCTATTATCAAAAAGACAAGAGATAACAAATACTGGTGTGGATATGAAGAAAAGGGAACCCCAGTTGGTGCATGGTAGGAAGGAATGTAAATTGGTACAGCCACTATGGAAAACAGTATGGAGGTTCCTCAAAAACTTAAAATTAGAACTATCATATGATCCAGCAATCTCACTTCTTGGTATATACACAAAGGAGATGAAATCGCTATCTCAAAGAGATATTTGCACCCCAATGTTCATTGCAGCATTATTCACAATAGCCCAGATACGGAAACAACCTAAGCGTCCATCGACAGATAAATGGATTAAAAAAATATGGTATATATACACAATGGAATACTATTCAACCATAAAAAAGAGGGAAATCCTGACATTTGCAACAACATGGATAGACTTTGAGGGTACTATGCTAAGTGAAATAAGTCAGAGAAAGACAAATATTGTCTGATCTCACATACATATGGAATCTAAAAATATCAAACTCATAGAAACAGAGGGTAGAATAGTGGTTGCCAGGGGCTGAGCAGTGGAGGAAATGGGGAGATGTTGGTTAAAGGGTAGAAACTTCCAGTTATAAGATGAATACATTCCGGGGATCTAACTTACAGCATGGTGACTATAGTTAACAATATTGTATTGTATACTTAAAAGTTGCTATGAGAGTACAGCTTTAATGTTCTCACCATAACAGCAAAATAGTAGTTACATGAGGTGAATGATGTGTTAATTAACTTTATTTGGTAAACATTTCATTATATATACATTTATCAAATCATAATATTGTACACCTTGTACAATAAATAGGGTTAGGGTTAGGGTTAGGCATGTGCCACGTTATATGTCAATTATATCTCAATAAAGCTAGAAAAAAAATAATCACCCCTTTGGAAGGTTCAAGCCTGGCAGTCAGAATATTTGGGAACCAAGATACTGAGAGCTGGTATTCTAAAGCCCCAAACGGGGAGAAGTGAAAGGTGAGTTGGGAATGAACTCAGTTCAGTTCAGTTAAGCCCAGGGTTATGAAGAACTTCAACTTTCACTTCTTTGTACAATGCCCAACACATAAATTAGTACTTGATTTATAGATATCCTCATATGATACTCTCTGGTTCACATGGGTAAGTTTGTCCACAATTTCTTGGAACAGGAATTATTCAATAGAGCTTTTCCCTTCATTCTCTTGAGAAACTGTAGCCTTCATGAAAATGCAACTAAAGATTCTCTGCTCACTGACCAAGGGAAGCAACATGAAAGCCTGCCATCCATCCAGGGCCATGGGGGGTAGGGAGAGGGAGAACAGCAAGAAAAATACTAAAAACACTGACTCTGTGCAAGACTCTGTTACGGGTTGCAAAGTTACACTACCCACAAGGTGGTGGAATCCCAAGCCACGAAATTAATATAACACCTGGTCCAAAACCATTGAAATGCCAATGGCTCCAGCATAAGTAAAGCTGAAACTGCTCAACTGCTCTGCAGGGCTCGCATGTCTTTCCACCCGTGTGTGTGTGTGTGCGTGCGCGCATGCATGCATATGTGTGTGAAGGATGTGACTGAAAATGAGCACACAATTAAAAGTCACACACATAATCCAGCAATTTCAATGAGCAATTTATTCCAGACTTAGTAAATAATAGTGGAAATAATAGAACAATCTAAAAGAGACTATGAGGGGCCGGCCTGGTGGTACAGCAGTTAAATTCGCACAGTCCGCTTCGGTGGCCCGGGGTTTGCCGGTTTGGATCCTGGGTGCAGATCTACACACCACTTGTTAAGCCATGCTGTGGCAGGTGTCCCACATATAAAGTGGAGGAAGATGGGCACAGATGTTAGCTCAGGACCAGTCTTCCTCAGCAAAAAGAGGAGTATTGGAGGCAGATGTTAGCTCAGGGCTAATCTTCCTCAAAAAAAAAAAAAAGAGAGAGAGAGACTATGAAATAAATTTCTTTAAAATTAAGGAGATAAAAGGATGCTATGGAAACATATTGAAAAAAGTATAAGAATATTAAAAAAAACTGGTAGAATTTGAATTTTAAAAAAATAACCACACCCAAATTCTCAAATAAAAAATACAGTCACTAAAAATAAACAAGTTAAAGAGTAGATTAAATACAGATCAAACAGCAGATTAAATACAGATGAGAAGATTTCAAGGAACTGGAAGAGGTCTGCTAAAAAGCACTCTGAATGCAAGAAAGACACACAAAGAGAAGAGAAACAGGAAAAGGCAAATGACTGAGGAGCACTCATACACACCTGCTGGAGCAGCGTTCATCAGAGAAGGCATGTGGTGACACCATCAGTAGCAAGAGTGCACATGCCCTGTTGCCCATGACACTCTAGGGCAGTGCACAGCAGTCTAGCAGGGCAGGAAGTCAGATGTTCAGAATGGGATCCCACTGCTTGGGTTGTGGGGCTTTTAAGCTACATGACTATGGAAGCACTGGCCCCTTGCCTGTGTGATCAGAGGCAGGGATACAATCACAACATGATGGGTAGAATCTTCCATATAATGTGTCAGAACCCTGTCTCTATCCCTAACCTGCTAGCTTGATACTCACGATTGGGGTAACTTCCCTGCCTGGCATGATCTGGGAGCTAGGTTCCAAGCCTTGCTGGTATGGCTGTGAGATGGGGCAATATGGTAGCAGAATCTGTCACATCAGTATGTTTGGCCTGGAAATCAATAGATGCATCTCCGGCATAATTAGCTTTCTGGGGTCCAAGCTTTGCAGTGACCAAGACTGTCTGCCCTACAGGGCCATACCCAGTTTTGCCAAAGCTTTGCAAGAGACCCAGTCCTCTTCTGAGCAGACAGCCTGCAAGGGCTCGGTCTTGGACAAGTTAATATCACCCCTCCAGCACATAAACTATTATATGAGACAATCCAACAAACTCCATATATGAGTTCCAGACAGAGAGAATAAAGAGCAGTACCTGAAGAAAAAATGGTCAAGATTTTCCAGAAGTGATGAAGAACCTGAATCTTTCAAATGAAGATGTACATTGCATCCCAAGCAAGATAAATAAAAACAAGTCTATAGCTAGAGACTTCATAGGGAAATTGCAGAACATCAAAGACAAAAACAAAATCTTAAGAGCAATTAGAGGGAAAATCTGATAACCAAGAAAAGAATTGCAATGAGGCTGACAGCAATGTTCTGTGGTGACCAGTCTCCATAGATATACCCCACAATTCTCCCCTTTCCTGTGAGCACACGCTGCTTCTCACATGAAGAGCTGCAGCTTCCTAGGGCTGGTCCTTTGAGTGCTCTGACCAATAGAACGCAGTGGAAGTGGCATCTGAGACTTCTGAGCCCAAGCCTTCAAAAAACTGGCAAATGACACTTCTTTCTTCCTGCACCTCTTGCTCTGGGATACCATCCCTCAAAACTCAGCCACCATGCTAGGAGAAGCCCAAGCCACACAGAGTAGCCACGTAAACAAGAACTGAAAGGTAACAATTAACAGCCCCCGGAAAGATCCCAAACACAGCCAGTATCAACTGATAGCCATGTGAGTATGGCACCTCTTATGTTGCAGTCGAATTGAATCCCAAGATAATTGCAGCCCCTGCCATTATCAACAGGAGAAACTACCCCACTGATACCAGGCAACCTACAGAATCACGAGAGAGAAGAAAATGGCATGTGTTCTAAGCCACTAAGTTTTAAAGTGGTTTTTAAATACCAATCGATAACTAAAACATTTCTCAGTTGCAATAACAGATTCTAGAAGACAATGGAAAAATATCTTTACAGTGCTGAGGAAATATAACGCTCAACTTAGAATTCTAAAACCAACTAAATAAATTTCTAGTGTAAGACAAAAATACAGTTTTAGACAAATAGTGAAAGTTCACCACTTACAATCTTTCACAAAAAGAAATACTACAGAACACAGGGATGCAAGAAATAATTGTAAGCAATGAAATTTATAAATATCTTATAAATCTAAATAAGTACTGACTTGGTAAAAATAAGATATAACTACAATATTAAACAGTATCTGATCTGGTTAACTGCCGTAATTTGCCTATTTTGAATTTGTACTCAATAACACTAGCACAGACAAAATGTCCTAAAGAATAGGAAACATATATGAAGGCATCTCTAAAACGTTATACTATTTATCAATTCTTCCCCATCCTTCCCCACCACCCCTCCACACATGACCCTCTCATGCCTCTACGCTCAGCCCCAGCCATAAAGGGACAGAGAAGAGACACTTACGAGAGGAAAACAAAAGAGAGCAGCCAGCCAAGAGAAGTCTCTCCTGGTATTCACCCAGGTGCGGCATTTGCTCCCTGCTTCTTTATTTTTACCTGCTTTGTCATCAAAAATCATGTCATGGATATGCAATGTGAAGGATAATTTTTAACATTAAGGACCAAGTTATGACCAAAAGGCATCTTACAAAAGACTTTAAGCAAGAAATTCCCATAACCATATAAACTATTAATTTCCCCCCGCATCTCATTCCTAACATGCAAATTTTCAATCTTCTACTTAGTTTTCAATAGAGTCCCAAATTTAAAGAGTAGAAGGAAAGGTCAGAGCTTCACTTTTCAACACAGAACTCAGTTATATTGAAAAGTGATTAACCATTTTAAAGAAGATTATTAAGCATTACTTACTTTAATAGCAAATTTCTTTGATGCCATGGCCCACTGATTCCAGAGTAATTACAGACCTTTAATAGAAGAAAAAAAGAGTTATAAGTAGGTATATCAAAATCTCTTTCTATTTGGATATTATACAGGAGGAAGTTTACATGAATAATCAAATATCAATAGGTATTTGCAAGATGAACGTTCACTTATAACTGGTCTCAAAAAGAAATTATATTGAATTAGTAATTTAAAAACTGCCCACAGAGAAAAGCACAGGCTCAGATGTATTCTACCAAATGTTTAAAGAAGAATTAATACCAACCCTTCACAAACTTTTAAAAAAAACAGAAGCATAAGACAAACTTCTCAAATCATTCTAAGAGGGCAGCATTATTCCGATACCAATATGAAACGAAGACATCACAAGAAATGAAAACCACACACCAATATCCCTTATGAATAAAGACACAAAAATCCTCAATAAAATACTACAAACCAATTCTAGCAACACACAAAAGGATTATACATAATGATCAAGCTGGATTTATCCCAAGAATATAAGGTTCGTTTAACATATAAAAATAATCAGTCTAATACATTATATTAATAGAATAAAAGAAAAAAACATATGATCATCTCAAATTTAAAAATTAGCTAAACCCAACCCTGTTTTTTGTTTGTTTGTTTGCTGAGGAAGATTCACCCTGAGCTAACATCTGTGCCAATCTTCCTCTATTTCGTATGTAGGTTGCCTGCCACAGTGTGGCTGCCGACAAGTGGTATGGTTCCACACCTGTGAACTGACCCCAGGCTGCTGAACTTAAACACTACTAGGCTATGGGGCTGGCCCCCTAACACTCTTTTTTGAGTAAAAAAAAAATCCAACACACTACGAATAGAAGAAAACATCCTCAACCTGATAAATCATACTTAATGGTGAAAGACTGAATGCCTTCTCCCCTAAGATGAGGAAAAGGCAGTGATGTCTGCTCTTGCCACCTCTATTCAACATTGTATTAGAGGTCTAGCCAGGGAAATTAGGCAAAACAAAGAAATAAATGGCATCCAGACTGAGAAGGAAGAGGTAAAACTATCTCCATTCACAAATGGCATGTTATTATATGTAGAAAGTCCTAAAAAATATTTTTTTAAATACTATTAGAATTAATAAACAAGTTTGGTGAGGTTGTAAGGTACAAAATCAATACAAAAAAGTCAACTATATTTCTATATACCAGCAATGAATAATCCTTAAATAAAATTAAGAAAACAATTCCATTTACAATAGCATTAAAAGGAATACTTAATGAAAAGATTTAACAAAAGAATGACTTGTAGAGGACAACCACAAACCATTATTGAAAAGAAATTAAAGACTTAAGTAAGGGGATTGACATCCCATATTCATGGATTGGAAGGTTTAATACTGTTAAGATCACAATACTCCCCAAATTGGTCTAAACATTTAACACAATCGCTATCAAAATCCCAGCTGACTTCTTAAGAGAAATTGACAAGCTTATCCTAAAATTATAAAACACATATAAAAACACAAGGGATCTGGGGTAGCCAAAACAATCTTGAAAAGGAACAACTAATTTGGAAGACTCATATTTCCCCATTTGAAAGCTTACTCCAAAACTACAGCAATCAAACAGTATGGTACTAGCACAAGGATAGATACACAGATCAATGGAATAAAACTGAGAGTCCAGAAATAGACCTTTACATTTAAGGTCAATTGATATTTAGCAAACATGCCATGACAAGTTGAGGAGGAAATAGTCTTTTCAACAAATAGTGCTGGGACAACGGGATATCCATGTGCAAAAGAATAATGTTGGACCACTATATCACAGTACATACAAAAACTAACTCAAAACAGATCAAAGACCTAAGTGTAACAGCTAACACTAAAAAAACCCTAAAAGAAAATATAGGCATAAATTTTTGTGACCTTGCATTAGGCAACAGTTTCTTAGATATGATACTAAAGGCACAACTGACAAAAGAAAAAATTGGTAAATCAAATTTCATCAAAATTACAAACTTCTGTTTCAAGTGACACTACCAAGAAAGTGAAAAGATAACTCACAGAAAGGGGGAAAAATATCTGTAAATCACACATCTGATAAAGGACTCATTTCCAGAATACATAAAGAACACTTACAACTCAACAATAAAAAGACAAATAACCCAACTTAAAAATGGATGAAGGATTTGAATAGACATTTCTCCTGAGAAGATATACAAATGGGCAATGAGCACATGAAGAGATGCTCAACATCATTAGCCACCAAGGAAATACAAATCAAAACTACAATGATATACCACTTTACACCTACTAAGATGGCTAAAACCAAAAAGACAAACAATGACACGTGTTGACAAAGATGTAGATAAATTAGAACTTTCATACATGCCTAGGAAGAATGTAAAACGTTGCAGCCACTTTGGAAAACAGTTTGGCAATTCTTCAAAAACTTAAACGTAGAGCTGCCATATGATCCAGCATTTCCACTCCTAGGTATGTGCCCAAGAAAAAAAGAAACGTATGTCCACACAAAAATTTATACAGGAATGTTGACAGCAGCATTATTCCTCACAGCCAAAAAATGGAACTAACCCAAATGTCTGTCACCTGATGAATGGATAGACAAATGTGGTACATACATACAATGAAATATTATTTGGCAATAAAAAGGAATCAAGTACTAATACTCTTTACTCTGCTCACCCAGGCAACTGCCCTCTCCCATTCCTGAGGAAGCCTGGAGAATTATTTTCTGGAGAGAGTAAGACAGAGGATCTCTGGTCTGGAAAACAGGCAGAGCATAAGGGAGGGGGTACTCCACTGAAAAAAGAGAAATTAAGGGAATATTTTTAAAATGACTGATATCTTCCCTAGCCCACATGCCCCTTATGATGGTTAATTTTGTGTGTCAACTCGTCTGGGCTAAGGGATGCCAAATAACTAGTAACACATTATTTCTGAGTGAGTCTGTGAGGGTGTTTTCAGAAGAGGATAGCATTTGAATTGGAGAATTCAGTAAAGCAGATGGCCCTTCCCAATGTGGGTGGGCATCGTTCAATCCACTGAGGGCCCAAACAGAACAAAAAGGTGCGGGAAGGTGAATTCACAATCTCTCTGTTTGAGTTGGGACATCCATCTTCTCCTGCCCTCAGACATCAGCACTCCTGGTTCTCAGGCCGTTGGACTTGGGCTGAATTATACCACTGGCTTTCCTGATTCTCCAGCTTGCAGACGGCAGATCATGGGACTTCTCAGCCTCCATAATCACATGAGCCAATTTCTATAAATATATACAGACCGTACCCAACTTAGGATGATCTGACTTATGATTTTTCGACTTTACAATGATGAGAAAGCAACACTCGTTCAGTAGAAACCATACTTCGAATTTTGAATTTTGATCCTTCCCCGGGCTAGCGATATGCCGCACAGTACTCCCTTGCGATGCTGGGCAGTGGCAGCGAGCCACAGCTCCCAGTCAGCCACGCGATCACAAGGGTGAACAACCCATTTGGTACCCAGACAGCCATTCTGTTTTTCACTTTCGGCGCAGTATTTGATAAATTACATGAGATATTCAATACTTTATTATAAAATAGTCTTTGTGTTAGACGATTTTGCCCAACCGTAGGCTAACATAACTGTTCTGAGCACATTTAAAGTAGGCTAGGCTACGTTATGAAGTTTGGTAGGTCAGGTGTATTAAATACATTTTCAGCTTAACAATGTTTTCAAATTACTACAGGTTTATTGGGAGGTTAACCCCATCGTAAGTCAAGGAAGATCTGTGTATATACACATATACACATATGCGAGTGCACACAGTTCCTATTGGTTCTGTTTCCTGGAGAACCTTGACTAACACAGCCCTCTACCCTGCCTAGCCTCTCCAAATAGGAGACTGAAACCTCCACATTCAGGGAACTGGACTAACCTAAAAGGCAGCTTCTCAAAGTACTGACATCAGGGGTTCCCCAAGGAAACAGCCTAGAGAGATGGCTCTAAAGTAAAGCCCATGCCAATAGGCCCCACATCTGTATGCAGAACGAACTTCCATCTTTTTAAGGTCCCACTCTCAAACACAAGCAAACAACCAGGAGTCATCTGCCATCTAAGTAAAGACTATCATGAAAGAAAACAGAAAAAAACAACTTGGCTGAATCCAAGACTATGCAGGGAGAAGGAAACGTTGTTTATACCATTAATATAGGAAGATAGGAGATACTGCATCCATAAAGCAATAAATAACAAAAATTATAAGGAATATTTGGAAAATAACAAATTAAAACTATGATAGCTGAAGTAAACTTAGAAGAGCTGGAAGACCAAGTTCACTAAGTCATTAAGAAACTTCAGCAAAAATAAAAAAGATGAAAAATAAGAAAGAATAAATTAAAAATTAAACGACCAGTATAGAAGGACAAACACATGAAAATTAGGATGGAAACAGACTCATATTAAGGTATATATCACAGTAAAATATCAGGCATTAGTGACAAAAAGAACCTTAAAACAATGTGTGGGGAGGTGAGGAGGGGTGTGGCAAAAGAATATTTGGTTCCAAAATGCCCAAAGCCAACTATGGAGACTAAAAAGCAATGGAGAAATATCTTCAAAATTGTGAACAAAATTTTTTCCAACCTCCAATTGCATTTAAACATGAAGAGGAAAAAACACATTTTTAGACATGCAAGGTCTTAAAAAATTTAAGTCTTACGTCTCCTTTCTCAGGAAGCTACTAAAGATGTGTTTCACTAAAATGAGGAAATTAACCAAGAAAGAGGAAGATACAGGAAAGAGGAAGACTGAGACAGGCGAAAGGCAGAGGAAATCCCAGGATCTGGTGAAAGTAGATCCCTTTGTGAGACAGTGGGGTAGACCAGGAGAGCATCATCAATGCAGGCTACAGCAGGTTGCAATGTTCTAGGAGAGGCATCTTCAGAAGCGTCTAGATGCATGCAGATGAATTTTAGACAACTGGTGAAGAATACGAGATTGAATTACGACAGGGGCATGGAAAGCTCAGCAACTGAATAATAACAAGGC